CGAGGGTACGGAAATCACAAGTGCCCCATCCATACTGCAAGGTGTTCTCCAATCCCGCCGTCACTTCTGCTTGATGGTTATGGTTTAATGGAGACTGCTCATGATTCCACTTGTTTCATATCCAGTGTTTCAATTGTTCAAATGGGGCACTTGCAATTTTTGTGATTGGTTTGGTTTGATTCCTGAAAAAAAGGAACGATTCAAGAGCATTTCAATGAACTAATAGACATTGAACATGAAACAAGTAGAACCACAAACATTCGTCTTCCAATCTTTACTGCCAAGCAGAATTCGCAGCAGGATTAAGTACAGTGTGGCAAAAGTATGAATGTGTAAGATCACAGAGGCCACAGCAGCTGTTCAAGCGAACCACCCCACTGTTAAGGTTAAGGACCAAATTCAAACACTCCGTAGACAAAATTTAAAAAAAAATCCATAGATGGTCAGACACATCATTCTCTTTGGATGCCTTGAACTCAAGAAGAAAAAAAAAAACAACGACAATATGATACAACCCAAACGTGGACGCTAGAACAAACAATGTGTTCCCCCGCGATCACCTATTTTATGGACTGAACAATGGAAATCTTCCTTCAAACCAAAAAAAATCTTACCTTCAACCATTCCGTAAATAAATCCTCGTCTTTCTTGAGCAACAAAAACTGTCCAAACAGAATATAAGCCTGGAACGATAGATGAGGAAATGAATAATGAAAGAAAGAGCACAAGAGATTTTAGTATATTCACCTTATCGAATCCTACTTCAGCAAGTTTAGCACCATAGGTAGGCCCAATCCCAGCGACAGCGGTGACCTCTTTCTCAGCCATCGGCTCTCCAATAAATTCACGATGCTTCACTGACGTTGACATAGTAGTAGTCTGGAACACTGAACTTAACCACAAATATTCTGGAAAAGCCGCTTTCGCTAATCACACTCGGAGTAAGAACGGTCCTAAACGAAACAGGTAGACGAATCTTATACGCTAATCTTATCAGGAAACAAACACTCGTGTCGTCAATCTACAATCGTAGACGCTTGAATTGATCCACAGAGGTGGTCCTCTATCAAGAAAATTCCCTTTCAGCTTCAACTAATATGCCGTGATAACTAATATTATTAACTCCCGCCTTCAGATAGATAAACAAAAAACGCGAAGAAAGTCTGATAGCAAATGAAGAAGGCCTTTCATTTTAACTACAAAAGCTTTCCTACAGGCCCCACCACTTTCTTCACGATTTGAGACCTCGGTCAGACTCGGCGATTGCGTCGCTGTACACCAGCGACGGAGTCGCTGGCGACGGAATCGCCGGCGACGGAGCCGCCCGGCACAAGAGTGGCAGCAACGGGCGATGACTCATCAGCACACGATCGATATCGGTTGGCAGGGGGGAGATTAATCATCCTCACCCATCGTTCATGTTGCTTCCCCTAGGGGGGAGATTAATCATCCTCACCCATCGTTCATGTTGCTCCCCCTGCCAACCGATATCGATCGTGTGCTGATGAGTCATCGCCCGTTGCTGCCACTCTTGTGCCGAGGCCGTAAGGTATGCTTCCCCGAAGGGTTAGGGGACGGAAGTTCCTTTAAATTTTCTCTGTAGTCCCAACTGGGATTGTCCTGATTAAGGGCCTACATCTAATATATACTCGAGATCCGTAAGTTGGGGTAGGCGTGTCACCGGAAGTGACGTGTACTTGATAGAATCTATGTGGATAAGGTGCTTCCAATATATATCGCGAGATATCAGCAAAGCATGCTGGCAGCGACTTACCTACGCAACCTCTATCAGTCCACGTCACTTCCGGTGACACGCCTACCCCAACTTACGGATCTCGACTGTATATCATGTAGCCTTAGAAGTAGCATGCATTTGAAATGAAAGGAACAGTCCGGTCAAAACAGAAAATTTAAAGGGACTTTCGTCCCCGCAACCATTCGGGGAAGCATACCTTACGGCCTCCGGGCGGCTCCGTCGCCGGCGGCTCCGTCGCTGGTGTACAGCGACGCAATCGCCGAGTCTGACCGAGGTCTGAGGCGCGGCGCGGCCGATCGCGACAGTTCGGTGGGAGCGCATGCTAGTCGGTCGGCCGACACAACGACGAACTGTTTGCCACAGCGTAGATGCGATATCGACTGTCAAGGGAAGGTTGCACCTATTACGACAGTGCCTGTGTGGCTCACGCATAACGATCGTATAGCAGATAAAACGAGCCACTATTCCACAAAACAAGCGGGCTTTCGAAATGCCGTGACGAGCAGTCACGTGTTGGCTGGGTTTCACTGGGTGACCGCGGTTTGGCCGGACGCATAGTCGATCATTGACGCATCAACGACGCATGTGTACGCTAAACCGCAGGTTGCAAAGGAAGGCGACGCGTAGTGTCGCTAGATCAATAGCAGCTAGTTATTCGGTGCTAACTTAGTTGGGGGGGGCACGCGGCGGCGCGGCAGTCTGCTCGTCTGGCATGTTCGGAAATCCGTGGGCCAGGGGGAGTGTAGCCAGCCTAGGGGGTTGGGGGGTGGGGGCAGTCACTTGACATGCGTGAAAAGCTGGAATGTTCGAGTTTACACTGTCTCGCTCGAGAGTCGGTGGAGGATGCCGCGCCGCAGGGCCCCCCACTAGTTAGACCTATATGCCAGACTCAGTGGGATTTCGAATACATCCGGCAGTCACGTGTTGTCTGGGTTAGCATTGGGTGACGCGTCGCCTTCCATTTGCAACTGCGGTTTATGCGACACCTGCAGTCGTTGCTGTCGTCCGACAGCAGCGGTCGGACGACAGCAACGACTGCAGGTGTCGCAGATCGATACGCACCCAATGCTGTGCGACACTTGCAGTCGTTGCTGTCGTCCGACCGACTATGCGTCCGGCCTTTATGCGACATTAACAATCGTTGCTGTCGTCCGACCGACTATGCGTCCGGCCTTTATGCGACATTAACAATCGTTGCTGTCGGACGACCGACAATGCATGCACCCGTAGTGCCTGCGAAGTGTGGGAGTAGGTTTGGAAACATTATCAGCACAGTTCGCGGGCGGTATCAACTCGGCCGCGCCCTAAATCGTGAAGAAAGTCGGGAGCTCTTTTCTAAACATAGATAGATGAAAAAAAAAACTTTGCTGGTTCCAGAGGTGAAATTCAAGTTGTTGAATTCAACTTTCAAAAAGGAAAATTCTCAGCAAAAAAGGTTCCTGGAATAGAAAAAATGCCCATTAGTTGACATGCTTAACGTATGTTGCCTTATGACGTAATGAAAAGCATTCAGAGAACAATTCAAACAACGCCTGCGAAGAGTACCAATGATACAGATTGCACTGAGTTTTTAAAGTCTCAAGCTGTAAGTGTGCATTTACTTGTGAACTTTTCAGAAACGTACGCACTTTTTGTAATTTCAAGACCGCTGCTCTTTAGAGAAATTTTTTTTAGATTTAGAACAAAGCAGTCACCTCTAATATGATTATGGCGGTGCTTTCAGAGATTGACACGAGTTACTCATGTTAGTCACTTTATCACGATAATCCTGCGTTATGACATACAACTGTCGTGGACAACCTTGGCTTCTTGTAAGATTAGTTCAGAAATAACTACTACTAGTTTGAAAGTAACAACAGCTTTGTAAGAAAGCTAATCAGTCAACAGTTCCCTAGTGCAACCTAAATGAATGTATGCAAAAGTAACCAAAAGGGTCGAGTAATCTCTCTAGTGAAAACAGATAATTACAAAAAACCTAAAGGTGCATGTGAATGCCCTCTTTTTAATTTCGAAATAGCTCCATCCTCTTTTTTCATAGTCTTGACTCATTGCACAGAAAACCAGAGAAAAAAATGTCGAAGGCAGGAGAAGCCACAAAGGGGGGGGGAGGGGGCGTGGGGGAACGCCGATTATTTATCTTAATTACTCGAAATAATATGCTAACCCACCCCTGACTTCCTCTTTTTACTTACGCAGTTAGAAAAAGGAAGAACGCCGAGTGGACTAGCAATATCCTTTTCCTCGAATACCTTCCATCAAAGAACAGGCGTACGCCTCCTTCAACTCATTTGGCACCATTTTCCTGGCAGAAGTAGCCTATCGCTCAGTGCTCGAGGATTTGGAAGCACAGGAAAGAAAGATTGGCACCATTCCACTGAAATTGGCCCGAAGTCTCAAAATTTCATTTTTCGTCGAACAGTGCTTGTAGAGGTAATTCGATGCCCTGATTACGTATATTATGTTAATTTTCGATGCGGCGCACTCTTTAACGACAGCTGTTTTCATCACTGCACACTCGTATGTAAGAGTTGTTTGTTGTCCTGATTACGAATATGGCATTAATTTTTGGAGTGAACACTGTCTTAAGATATTTTGTCCTCCTAGGGTCTGCCACTCATGTGCCTTTGGCTAATAAAGCTTATTGGGAAGGGGATCTCGAGCAGCTAAATTACGTGCCGTGTAACAAAAAATGAAGCGTGTGTGATCATAGAAAGAGTGGCTTACTCACCTCTGAGCCCCTTTTCCCCAAGAGCTCAGAGGTGAGTAAGCCACTCTTTCTAGTCAGTCCTGATCGTGATCTAATCAGCAAGAGGAGCGAAAGTAGACGCCAAATGGCGCCACGGTCAAAAATGAGTCATATTCGCCAAGAACACAAGCAGGGTCAAGCGTGCGTTGAGGAATCCTCGACACGTCGCAGGGGGGGGGGGTCGTATTGGCCCGCTGGGTGGAAGAGATCGAGCCATTTTGATGCAGTGGGATCATCACCGTCGGAAGACAAATATCAAGGATGAGTCGATGCCAGGCCAGAGGATTTCCAATGAAAATGATATTTCACCCACACAAAATTTTCGTGATTCTGAGGCGTCCGGTAATTCTTAGTTACTTCAGTGTTTTATCACCACACAAGTTAAAGAATCTGAATTTCGCACGCTTTCATCAATCACTTTTCTTAGAAGAGAAAAGCATGATTCAAATCTGCTCTTACTTTAGTACATAATCGCCCTTAAAAGGATATACCGTTGAAATAGTGCCAATGTAGCGAAAAAGTACCTTTCGGCGGTACTCGTGCAAAAATCCTCAACGTAGCCGTTTTTTTAATATAACTGAGACTTTTGGATTAAGTTTTTTCGTAAGCATTGATGTGAGGCTCAAATTTCCGTTCTTGAGTTGTAGATTATGATGACCGCGTGAGGTGCGTTGTCGAGTGGGAGGTGGTTTGAATGGAAACGGTCAATGTCGCGATAAGCATTTATCGCCGCGAGTACAATTGCATGAAGTTCAACATTAGGTTCGTATATTTCTTTTGAGTAATATGAGGCTTTAGGAAGTAAAAAAAACTCATGTGCGACTCAGTCACAAATATGGCCTCTTTAAATTTTTGCAAAAATCCTCAAACGTGGCCATTTTTTGAATACTGGACGTATAGAGCTGCTTTAGCAATGGTTTGGTAGAGAAAATCTTCTAGTTTTGTCTGCCATATTAACTTTTCGAATTTGACGAAAATGAAGCAAGTTGTTGCTTCGGAAAGTGTAAAAACTCGTGCTCATCTCGAATTTTCCTCGTTAATTGACCTAAATTTGTTATTTCTTATAACTTTTTGTAATTTCAATACTGATTAGAAAAAGCTCTTCACAAAACTTCCAAATCTGCTTTCAGATTGAAAATTCGTCATATTTGAAGAAAGTTATAATCATTTGAATATTTGTTCAAATTTCAATAGTAAATAAGCTGCTCCACGGTCAACGCCAAAGTCCAGTCAACACACAGCTGGCGAAGGCGGTGGTTCGTCGGGTACAAAACTCCTTCAACTGAAGGGCTACGTGCAAATTGAGAACCACAATCTGTGTAGTACTAGAATTTGGTAAGTCTTGTGGAGGAAATAAATAAAGAACAG